GGAGAACTCCCCTCAATTCTAGTGCACTCTTCTGTGTATCTGTACATACTTGACTTTTAAACACAGAATCTTTGTCACCAATTATTAGTGTTCTCACTACACTGAAAACAAGCTGTTTTAATCTGCTGCCTTATTTAAGCCCCCCATGCCTACTACTTCCGTAAGTGTACAACTGGGCCGCAATGTGTAATATGTAATAATAGGTGTAAGAGCTCAGATTTTGATATCAGCAAAATCTGATTTTAAATCCTGACTCCAAATTAATTAGTGTCACATTGAGTAAATGCTTTAGCTCACTGTGCCTCAGTTTCCTTTTTTCCTTTTTTTTTTTTTTTTTCAAAGAAGGTAGTAAAACCCACTTTGTGGGATTTTTATAAGTCTTCTCCTGAATTGTCTATGGTGATTACAGTGGAATGTCCTATCATAATGCCTAAAAAGTTTTGGACTGATGTTTTACCTTGTAAATTTACTTTAAATTGAATATATTCTTTAGTAAAGAGTGTATGTATTTTTTCATATACATTAGCTGAAATTTACTTGAAAATACTAAGTCCATAATTTATATGACCCATTTTTTTGATGATTGATTTTTTTTTAAGATTTTATTTATTTGACAGAGAGAGAGACAGTGAGAGAGGGAACACAAGCAGGGGGAGTGGGAGAGGGGGAAGCGGGCTTCCCATGGAGCAGGGAGCCCCATGTGGGGCTCGATCCCAGGACCCTGGGATCATGACCTGAGCCGAAGGCAGACGCTTAATGACGGAGCCACCCGGGCGCCCCTGATGATTGATATTGTAAATAACAAACTGTCTTCTACTTTAGATTGATTTTGATGGGGGAAGGATACTGCATGATATATGACATTCAACTAATCTGTTAATTTAATAGTATGAAAAGATTTATAGATGATGAATTTCCATACTCTTGAAAGTAATTTTATAACTCTTGCACTGCTTCTGGGTTTATATTGTTGCCTTGTTTTAAAGTAGGACTTTCCCCAGACAGTGTATGTTAGTATTTGGAAAATTCCCTATCAGTAGGCTAGCACCATCTTGACAGCCCTGTGTTCTGCTTCTACCTTGCTAATTGTTTCCTTGGGATTATTTGGATTGTGTAGAAAGCTTTTTGCAAATCCTCTTATTACTGAAGTCATTGTTGCCAGCAGGAATAAGATTAAAGGTGCTTAAGTCTGTAGAGTTGTTTCTAATTTGTACGTGTCATTTCAGTGCCATTTTAACAGAACTCTGTCTCCTGTCTCTCCCTTCTCCCCCGGTACTATCTCAAGTTAGGTCCGAGAAGCCAGGCCATTGGAAGAAATCTCATTTTATCCTCCTAATTATTATGCTGGCACTCAGGAGATAATTTTTCCCTTTATGCACTGCCAATTAATATGCAAATGGGCTGATAAATATTTATGCAATGATTTAAATTATGCAGGGTGTGCTTTCAGTGTGTTCTGTAAATGAATTGTTCGTGGACTTCAAAGTGCTGGCTGCTGTGCTAACGAGGAGAGATTTGCATAAGGCCCTAATCACACGCATACTGATTAAGCTTCATTATGGAAACTGCCAGCTGCAATCTTTGTTTCTATTTTATTACAAAAAGGGGAACTTTTCATGCTTCAGTTGCCTTGACAATGTCAGTCCTAGCTGGTAGAGAGACTAAAACTCCTCTGAGCAACTGAAGTTTCCTTATTCCGTTGAAGATTGCTATGGTGTAACTGAAGTTGTATTTTGCTTCTCCCCCTAATCCACTTTCCACCTCCCACCTTGTTCTCTTAAGAACATAGCGTAGATTTGTTAGAACTAGTAGTACCTTCTTTCCCCCACCCCAAACTGCTACCTGTCTCTTCCTTGCTCTGGATTGTCTGAACCTCTAGAAGATTTCACAGCAATGCTGGACTGCAGTGACTATGTTCTAGGTGGGTACCAGCACAGTTCTTTCTTAGAAGCTTTAATATGGAAATGGCGTGTGTGGGGTTGACTATGCATAAATGCTTAATCGCATATGCAACCAACTCGGGGAGGAAGCGGGGGGGAGAGGTGGATTGAGCAGAGAAGGAGGAAAGCATTTGCAAGGCAAGAGCAGACTTGAATTTGCAGTAGGTCCCTCCCTACCACTAGCTCTTCTGGTTCCGAGGACATTTTCAGTAAATAGTGTGCATTTGGAATTCAACTTAAACAGTACATTTTTGCTTTTTGGAAATACCTATTGGGCGCATTTCATGTAGTTCTAAAAACACTCTAAATCTGAAACAAGGTATAAAGTGTTCCTAAATAATGTGTACATATTAATCAAAATGTTTTGCCTACCTAATGTGAATGTCTTATATAAAAACCAAAAGTGCATAGTGAAAAATAAGGTGGAGCCATAATGCAGAATGGCTCCCATAAATACTAATGCCTAGGGTAATTGCAGTGGTTACTGATCAGTTTCCAGATTTGAGAAACTATCAACTTGTCAAATTTTGGCCGATATTAGCTTTTTTTATTTAAAAAAAAATCAACTTCTGTTCTTCAGAAAACAATTTTAAGTTCTGGAAAGCCTATTTTTAGAGTTCTCTCTGTAGAACAACAAACCTTTTAGGAGAGAGGGGTGTGAGGCTTGATTATATAAACTGTCTTTGGTAACAGATTTAAAATAGATTGGACACACTGTGACTCATGGTGGCTCTATTTTGTGTTGAGATTTGTCTGTTTGTATGCAAAATTCTTGAAACCTCTTTAGGTTACTCTGGTCACCTGGAGAGTCAGATGATGTAAACTCCAGGACTTTGATACTTTAGGTTGAAAACCTTTGCAAGTGATTTTTTTTTCCTATATGTCATTTTTCTTGCTTGAAAATTTGAGGCTTGACCTCCCCCATGTCCTTCACAGTTGCTAAGGGTAAAATTAAATGATAGTTCTGAAAATGTTCACATTGTTAGAGGGAATGGCCTAAACCGGTAGTAATATTTGTATGGCACAGTAAAAACCACAATTAAAACAACAAACTGATGTCAAGAATTCAATCCAAGAACAGTTTGTAGACTGTGTATTAGACTCACATACAGTCAGTTCAGTGTGCCCAGAGAGAAGAAGAACTTCAAATATCAAAAGAGAACTTACTTGCATTTACTCTTTTACATCTACTATGTTGGGAACTCAAGAAAGGAAAGAAAAATACCTTTTTGAAATATTTTTAGCATTGTATTTTAGAATTAGAAACTGATCTCTGTTATTTGTAATTAACAGTAACTGTCATTTGAACAGTCTTCACATTGTTGTACAGTTAGTCAGAATTTTGTTTTATTTACATGTGTACATATGTGTGAAGTAGTTTTGTTAAATGTCTCTAAAGCTCGACAGTTTAATAGAACATGCTTAGAAGATTCACACAATACCTGTGGCATAATTTTTAATTTAGATGTGTGGAAATTAGGGTATGAGTTGCACAAGCACAGGCTCATGACTTGTTAAGAATTCTTTGTATAAAAGCTATGTTACCCTTTTTATGAATATTAAGTGGTTCGTATTTTTCCCACTTTCTTTTAACATTCTAAAGGAAGCATTGAGCAGAATGTATGTTTACTGGTATATTAACATTTGTTGTGATCTTTGTGGACTTTCATAAGATTTTGGTTAAGTCATTCAGAAAGCTGATTTTCACTAAGTTGTACACCTGTTCCTTTCAAACCTGAGTATGCTTTCAGTGACATTTAAATTTTTCTGTACAGTAGAGGCAAGGAAGTTGTAGAACTACTCTCATTTATGACCACAGAAAAACGAATTTGAATCCTTCGAACATCTGAAGAACAAACCAAAGATATGATGAAACTGCTTAAGACCATAAGACAAGCATCTGTTTCAAAACCTGTGTTAAAAAAGCTATTACACAGCTTCCAGGTTGGAAATGAAATTTATGGGAGGAGGACTCTTGATTCTCTCTCATCACTTGTGCATTTAGATAAAGCAGCTATGGACAGCACGGTTGGGACTGATGATTGTTTTGGCTTCCTAGTTAAACACTGAAGCAGATGACAAAATGTACTCTTCAGTGAAAAATCAAATATAATATAGTTTACTTATTCTCAACTAATAATTATAGTTAAATGGTTCTTAATCCAGTGGGGGAAAATGGGAAACTTGCTTGATAGTAAACTTGATTACAAATATGCTAAGTTTGGGTTTACAGTAGAAGTAGAATGAAGTATGTATTAAATGTAAATTTAGGTTTTACCCTATTATAAAGGTGGAAGAAAAACAGACTTGTTCTTGTCTCTTGTGTATCTTCTGGGATACCTGATATTGCTTGATGAAAACTTTTTACTATGAAAACTTTCATTAAAGAGATAACCCTTAAGGAGATAAACCCACGTCAAGAGGTTCTCATGGGGTATCAGATAGGTAGTATTTTAGGTGGTGTGGTTGTGGTTCAATTTGGAAATGATTAGATATATCCATTATGAGGTATGAATTTGACATATTCTCATTTTGACACATAGTTTGGGCAGGGAGTAAATAGGAGATTTTTTCTTAGACATGCTTTCTTTTTATTCTGTAAGGTTGAGTTACTGTACCGTCTTTTAGCAAGATTACCAGTGAATTGTTTTTGTTATAACTAACCAATACCTTTGCTTATGAAAAAAAGAAACTTTGAGAGTAACATGTTTTACTTTGTAAGGAGCTTGGCCCCAGCTTTGTTTCTTTAAAGTATTTTATGCTTCATATTATATTTACTCCATTACATGTTAGACTCAGTTATCTTTGTGAGAAGAACATTAAAATTCTTTGGAAAGACAGTTTATTTGTGGATCACTTCAGGGTTAAGGGAATCCCGAATTTCTTTCAGATAAACTTTTATTACAATTTCCAATGTTTTAGTGTTGACACTATCTGTCTTTGAACTGTAGAACTGTTAACATTAGTCAATATTCTTAAGCCTTTCCTTTTCCACAATTTTGCCTCCCTAACCACATCCCCAGTTTTTAAAAAATCTCATTCACCTCTCATTCATTGCAGACTCAAGAATGAACAATCCGTCAGAAACTAGTAAACCATCTATGGAGAGTGCAGATGGCAACACAGGTAAGAGATGATTCCCAGGTCCAGCTTTTTAACTAGCTCTAATCGTGCTAACAGAAGAAACTTTCCATTTAACTGTGACTTCTGTTTGGCAAATAAAGACCAACTGGAGTGTTGAGTTGTCAAATATAACTTAGTGCTTGCAGGAACTGGTATTGTTACTTGTTAAAATTATTTAGTTTCTTCTGCAGATTGCTTCATCTTTTTGTTGCTGTTTATCAGAGACACTCTAAAGTAGTTGAGAGAATAGTCCTTTAGGGTCAGGTAGTTCTGGGTGTGAATTAGGGATTTGTTACTAGCTTTGGACTTTAGGCAGTTTCCCCAATCTTTTGAGACTTCATTCACCTATAAAATGGGGATAATATATTTCATAGGTCATTGTGAGTATCAAAGGAAATGGATTAAGCACAGTACCAGCTACACAGTTAACCATTCAGTAAAACGTTGCCCTTGTTATAGGTGTTAACCGAAATAGTAAATGTTATCCACCCCCCGCCCCCCTTCAATTTAAGTTGTATTGAAGTTATGATGGTGTCAGTAGATAGTTAAAAACACACACCTATTTCTAATATGTTCTTTTATTTGGTAATTTTTAAAAACTTATACTTGATTTAACTATTTATCAGGAGAAAATTAATATCATAAATGAGAAAACTGAGGCCCCCATGAGAGAAAGGTAAATCCATAAAGGATAGAATGTCTCTACAACCCATACTCTTAATTCATTACATTGCTCAGAGGACATTTAACCATGTGTCTTTATCATCTGCCAGAGATGGTGCAGGGACTTCCCCAGTTTCTGGGGAAGAGGCATAAATTAAAATACTCAACTGTGTAAGAAGGGAATTATGGGCAGGGATACCCAGAAAGTAATAGTTTCTAAAGTAAACTAGGTCTTTCACTTGCAGAGAGGGTTGCCTCTGTGACCCATCATTTTCAAATTGCCTAAAAATGGGAGATGGTAAGAATGAGAGTCACTCCTGGAAACAGTCTTTGTTTTTCACCTCTGCTGGCCACAACATGTTTTAATTTAAAGTAGATGAGTTGAACCAATGTAGCAGTTCCTGCCTACCTATCTTTCCATTCAAAATTGTTCTCTACCTGGAGATACGTGTTAATCTTTTAATCTCTAAAGTGAAACTGAGCTGTGGGGCATCCTGTTGTACTGAACAGGTCACTCAGAACACTCTGAGGCTAGCCAGGTACACTGCTCTAGAACCTCCTGGGGAGGAGAAAGGCAGCACTCTCTTCTGTCTGGATTGTCAGCTGCAGTCTCATTTTTGTTGTTTCTCTGTCCTCTGTTTGGGCCCTGTCTTGCATTATTTTGTAGCACTGGTCCATCTGCCAGTGCTTTGGCCATCTAGCTTAGGTGTGGGAGTTGTTTGCCAAGAGAAACAGGGCAGTCAGTCCCATCAGACGTTCGGGGAGGGTGTGCAGGACCTTGTGCCTTAGGAACCACTTCAAAGGAGAGGCATGTATTTCTCAGGGAAGAGAAACAGATGATTGAGCGAACACTGAAAATGTCTCTACATCAGACTCCTTGAGAAACCCCTAATAATAGACGTTTCAGTAGCTACCATTTATTGAGCACCTACATTTAATAATCCCCCAATGACATGTTTTTAAAAATCTTAAGCACTGTACCCATTACCTGATTTCAATTTGTGTTCTTAATGACAGCCCTGTAAGTTAGGTGTTATTATTTCAGGGAATAGGAAATCAAGGCACAAAACCAGCCAGGAAATAAAGGTGGAATGAGGATTTACACCCTGCATATGGTTTCTCCCATGAATTGCAATAAAATAAAACAGAAAATTTAAGCAATACTTAATTTCAGGTCTAAAACTATTTTCAGAGCCATATATAAGAGAAATTCTAGCTGGAGCACTTGCTAAAACAGTCTTGTGAATTTCTTGACTTGTTTTTTGTTTTTTTTGTTTTTTATTTATTTGAGAGAGAGCATGAGAGGGGGGAGGATCAGAGAGAGAGGCAGACTCCCTGCTGAGCAGGGAGCCCGACGTGGGACTCGATCCCGGGACTCCAGGATCATGACCTGAGCCGAAGGCAGTCGCTTAACCAACTGAGCCACCCAGGCGCCCCTCTTGACTTGTTTTAATATGCAGTGCATGGTGGACTCATAGAACTAAGCAGTATCAATGTAGATTTTTACTTTTTAATGTCTCTAAAACTCAGCATTTGTTGCCTTTGTAAAATTATAAATTGCTTCCATGTTACAGACCTTTACAATGCACTTGAAGATAACTAAAACCTTGAATGTCAGTTTCTGAAATGTTAAGGGCCTATCACTATGTTCTTAGCATCTCCCACTGATGTCAGTTTGTTAGTTTAGGAATATAAAAATAACTTCAAGTTCCAGCTTGCCTATTAAATTACAATGCTCAGTATGTCAGATACAGAATTACAGTTTGTTCAGACAATTACATGCTTACAAATTGATTTTTATTTAAAAATAAAACAGACCTGCAGATTGTTTAATTGTAAAGGATTCTTAGTTTCTGCTAGTTGAATAACAAGTAAAAGTTTTCAGTAGAAAGAACCCTTAGCGTTGTTACAAAACTAAAATCTCACCTTTTCTTGGATTTGGAATACTTTTGTGTAGATTATTAAAATTTTAAATATTTCTGGAAAAAATAACTTTGATTCATGAAATTTTATGGGGAGTAATACTGTAAAATTATTTAAGATTATGTTTGATATGCTTCTTCTTTGCCTTTCTCCTGCCAGAGCGATCTATTTAAGTTGAGCAGATAAATCTGATGATGCACTTTTGTCAGATAGCCCTTATGTGTTCACAGAAAATCAGTAGTTTAGGTTTGTCAATTTATTTATTCCTTAAGTTCCTGTCATATGTAAAATATTGTATGTGGTGTTATTACAAGATGCTAGCTCAAATAGATGAGATTCCCTCAGTCTTTGAAGAGTTAGCAGTCCATTGAGAAAACAGATATACAGATAAGAGATTCAGGGTAGATTATTGTAATTCAAGAGGAGGTATAGAAAAATATCATAGTGATGTTTCTTTGAGGATATTTGAGTATTTTTTTCTTGAGATATAATTGACATATAACATTATATTAGTTTCAGGTAGACAACATGATGATTGAATATTTGTATACACTATAAAATGATGACCACTAAGTCTAGTTTCCCCGTCGCCATATAAAGTTACATAATATGCAATACAGTATTTTTGAATATAGTCATCATGCTTTAATTACATCCCCATGACTTACTATTTTGTGACCGGAAGTTTGTACTTCTTGACCCCTTTTTCCCTTTTTGCCCACTCCCCCAGTCACCCTTCCCTTCTGGCAACCACGAGTCTGTTCTCTGCATTTATGAGTTTTGTTTTGTTTGTTTTGCTTTTTAGATTCCACATATAGTGAGATCATATGGTATTTGTCATTCTCTGACTTATTTTACTCAGCATACCTTCAAGATCCATCCATGTTATCATAAATGGCAAAACTTCATTCTTTGTTATGGCCGAGTAGTATTCCATTGTGTACATATACAACATCTTCTTTATCCATTCATCCATGGATGGACACTGGTTGTTTCCATATCTTAGCTATTGTGAATAATGCTGCAGTGAACCTGGACATGCATATATCTTTTCTAATTAGTGTTTTTGTTTTGTTTTGTTTTTTGGATAAATACCCAGACGGGGAATTGCTGGTAGTTCTGTTTTTAGTTTTTTGAGGATCCTCCATACTGTTTTCCATTGTGGCTGTACCAATTTACATTCCCACCAACAGTGTACTAAGGTTCCCTTTTCTGTACATCCTCACCGATACTTGTTACTTCTTGTCTTTTTGATAATAGCCATTCTGACTGATGTGAGGTGATATCTTATTGTGGTTTTCATTTGCATTTCCCTGATGGTTAATGATGCTGAGTATCTTTTCATGTGTCTGTTAGCCATCTGTGTGTTTTCTTTGGGAAAATTGCCCATTTTTTATCAGATTGTTTTTTTTCATTATTGAGTTGTGTGAGTTCTTTATATATTTTGTCATAAATTGACCATATGTGCATGGGTTTATTTCTGGACTCTGTGCTGTTCCATTGATCTGTGTGTCTGTTTTATACCAATACCATACTGTTTAGATGATTATAGCTTTGTAATATAGTTTGAAGTCAGGCATTATGATGACTCTAGCTGTATCCTTCTTTAAAAAAAAAAAAGATTGGTTTATTTTAGAGGAAGAGAGCGAGCAAGTGGGGGATCGGGGGGAGCAGGAGATAGAGAAACCCAAAGCCGACTTCCCACTGAGCGCAGAGCCTGATGCAGGGCTCGATCCCAGGACCTGAGATCACAACCAGAGCCAAAACCAAGAGTCAGCCTGGGTGGCTTAGTCAGTTAAGCGTCTGACTTCGGCTCAGGTCATGATCTCTGGGTTCTGGGATGGAGCCCTGCAATGGGCTCTGCATTCAGTGGGGGGGGGAGTCCTGCTTGTCTCCCTCTCTCTCCTCCTCCGCCCTCCCCCACTTATGCACAGGCATGCACTCTCTCTCAAATAAATAAAATCTTTAAAAAAAAGGAAGAAGATGTACCCCTTTTTCTACAACTAGGGAGAAGATAGGGTTGAAGAATGACAAAATTGAGGTGGAAATAAAAAGGAAAATGAGGAATAATTCATATTAGATTGCATTTTTTCCATTTATCATTAAAGTAGTTGAGGTGGTCATTTAAGAGGAAAACAAGGATAATAGTAATACTAATAGCAGCAGTTAAAATGTGTTGAACTGTTACTAGGTATGCATGTCTAGTAGCTTTATTAGGTATGCTTTATATCATAATTGTTAAAATACTCCCATAAGGTAAGTAGTGTTATACCTGTTTTACAGATAAGGGAACTAATTATTCAGAACTGGTTAGTAATTTGTGATTGTAAAGACCATGAGTCTTTTCATTACTTTTCATTATCTTACACTGCCTCAAAGATTGAATGAAATGGATTTGAGAGTTTGAGTCGAGTGAA